GATAATATAAAAAATACTTTATTTAAAGTTCTTAATTGTTCAATAAGTCAAGGAATTTTTCCGGCCCAAATGAAAGTTGCAAAAGTGACACCTATATATACAGGTGGTGAACTTACAAATGTTGTGAATTATCTTCCAATTTCAGTATTGTCAGTTTTTTCCAAAATCCTTATAATAATTTTATTTGATCGAATTTTTAATTATCTCTATGAAAATAATATACTTTACAACAATCAAAACGGTTTCAAAAAAAAAAAAAACTCTACAGAAACGCAGTACTTCAACTCACAAGAATTGTTACTGACTCCTTCGAAAAATCACAATTTACTTTAGGTATTTTTATAGACCTATCTAAAGCTTTTGATACTATTGATCATGGCATTCTCATAAATAAATTAGAACATTACGTTATTACTGGTTAAGTCTTAATGTTATTAAAAAGTTACTAAATTATTGTAAACAATTCATGCCTGTTGATACGCACTCAACAACTACTGCTTTAGATATATCATGTGGAGTCCCCCAGGGTTCCATTCTCGGACCACTGTTATTTCTAACTTATATTAATGACCTCTATAAAACTTCTAGTTTAATTACAATAATGTATGCTGACGATACTAGTTTTTTCTTATCCGGAAATAACATCAATAGCTTATTTAATGACATCATTGTAGAACTAAAGAAAATATCTGACTGGTTTAAATCAAATAAGCTTTTTCTTAACATTAAAAAAACTAAGTGGATTCTTTTTCACTCTTTATTATTAAACATGAATACTCTTAATATTTACGAAGCAATTATATTTAACGTTCTTTGCTTTATGTTTAAGGGCAAAATAAATCTATTTCCCGTTTCTTTTCATAAATTATATTCAATAAAAGAAAAAAATAAGTATATATTAAGAAATAATAAACATATCCAACAACCAATTTTTCAATCAAATATAGACAAATCTTGCATTAAATACCGAGGAGAAGTATTATTAAAGTAAGTATTAAAGCATTTTTATTTTTTGCATAATTGGATTTATTTTACTTTTAAAAGAAAACTAAAAGAAGTAATTTTTTCAATTGATAACATATTTTTATGTTTTTAAATTATTACCTATTCCACAAAATAATTAAGGAATTGTAATCTGAACGACAATATTTTTTACATTACATGACATATATACTGATGAAAACTGATGTAATTTTTTAAACTTTTGTTTGCTTTTTTTGTTTGTTTGTTTGTTTTTTGCATAATAATAAATATTGAGAATATATATATATATATATATATATATATATATATATATATATATATATATATATATATATATATATATATATATATATATATATATATATATATATATATATATATATATATATATATATATATATATATATATATTCACATATATTATAAAATGTTGTTAAAACTTGCTTAACATCTAAAGAGTATTATAATATATAAACGCATTTAAAAATTGTTTTAAATATTTGTAAATTTATTTATTTATTTTGACTCCTAATATTGTTTGTAAAAGGCTTTATTATAAGATTGTGTGATCTTCTGGAAGACCTACCAGTAATATATTCACTGTAAATTTACCTTGTACATATTATTCTGGATGAAAAAAATATATATATATGTGCATATATATATATATATATATATATATATATATATATATATATATATATATATATATATATATATATATATATATATATATATATATATATATATATATATATATATATATATATATATATATATATATATATATATATATATATATACATATATATATATATATATAACACACATCAAGCTGATCTCTTTCGTCCAACAAACACCAGTTTCGTTACATTTAGGCATTAAAAAAAAAGGCAGCCAACAATGTCCTAAAGTCTATCAGATTTAGAAATTGGTGTCAAAATTATTTTCTATAATAAAGATATCCAAGCACTTTTCCTTTTGGTGGCAGCTTATTATCAGTTAGCTTTTCGATGGTTTTTTCTACAAAAAAATTTTTTTTTTGATCTTGTATATATATATATATATATATATATATATATATATATATATATATATATATATATATATATATATATATATATATATATATATATATATATATATATATATATATATATATCAGAGATACAGCTTGATGTGTGTTACTAAAGCCTTAGTTAATATATGGGAAAAGGCTTCAGTTCCAATATTGTATCATAAAAAAATAAGGTATAAATAATTAGTTTAATTTCTAATTATGACAAAAATAATATTGATAGAAACATGATAAAATGCAAGTAAATAATTTTACTTTTTAACTTATACATATATCTTAAAGGAATAACATTATGGAAATGGAAAATCGCAGAAGTAAATTACAAGCAAAACTGAAATAAAGTATCTATTGGGTATAAAAAAATGCGCATAGGATTTCTGGAAGAAATGCGTAATCTTTTCGACATATCTCTTTTAGATATTCATGACATAATGATGCAATATAAAACTAAATCACTTCCAACCAGAAAAGAAGATTTTATGTTTTTGGACGACCAAAAAAGCCTGCGAATATGGTCAATGGATCGTAGAGAAAAAAAATATGAAATTTTTTATAAAAAGAAAGATTGGAAAAACAAATCAATTTTAAGCGAAAACGATAGGTCAACAATCGTCTGACAACATTTTTCAATCAAATCTTCAAAAC